GATAGATAGATAGATAGATAGATAGATAGATAGATAGATAGATAGATGCCTCCCCCAGCTAAAAGTGATGATAACCAGGCACCTCTCTGATTATGAAGCAGTCCATGGCACAAGGTCACTCTGCTCAACTGTTGAATAATCCAGGTATACTAAACCTTTGTACATGGAGCCTTTCTTCTCATGGTCACTATTGAATAGCCCTCGAAAGCATGAGAGATCAAATATCTAATGATACTGTCCAGGACGTGTATCCCCTGCCCTCAGTGTACCACATGGACATATATATATATATATTTATATATACATACACACACACAGACACAAAGAATCAAGGACTCTTTAAACTAACAGGAATCTTCAAAGTCCATCTATTGGTCCAACCTCCCACAAAATGGTCCCCTGCCAGATGATCATCCGCCCAACTTTTTTATTTTATTTTTAAAGGAGCATGGCAATACATCTTAATGTCTGTGGTACCAGTTACTGCCAAGCAGTATAGCTGGAGGGCACTTGAATTTGAAAAAGACAAATTAACAATTTACTTAATTATTTTAAAGAAAAGTACTTGAGTAGATATGGCTTAAACACAGAAGAAAATCATGACAGGTAAATTACCCAAGTATAAAACTCATTAAATAGAGGTGCAGCTGGGCTGGTCATCTATTATAAATATACCTCAGTCTAATGTGACAGGCCTGAATGCCTATAAATTACTGTGTGGATCCAATGATCATATGTTTTTGTCTAATATAGAAAAGAATTTAAATGCATGTAAAATTACCTTATCATTTTCTCTTATTCAATCCTTAGCAGAAGGTACAGTGATCATTACATGTAACATGCCAATTTAAATTTAAAACCATAATTTCCTGGGATTTCTGTTACATTTACTGCCAGTTTTCTGCCTAGTTGTATTTTTCATAAAATGGGCTCTACTTAATTTAGAGGCAGCTGGTGGGGCAGTGGATAGAGCACTGGGCCTGGATTCAGGTATACCTCTGTTTAAATCCAGCCTCAGATACTAGCTTTGTGATCCTGGGCAAGTCACTTAACCTCTTTACTCAACTGTAAAATTCAGAAAACAACCTCCCAGGGTTGTGAGGATCAAATGAGATAATCTGCAAAGTAGTTAGCACAGTGCCTGGCACATACTTGGGGCTTAATAAATGCTCATTCCCTTCCCCATTTAATCCATTCCATTTAATGAATTTCATTATTTAAGATAAATGAAATAAAATTAAAGTCAGAACCACAAAATTTCTAAGCATAGAGGACCACAATTACCAGTTAAAATTAAAGAATATCTGGAAAGAGGTACTGTGTGAAATTGGTGGTTTTTGCTTCTCTTATGACCTTGGCCAATTCATCCCTTCTCTGGGCCTGGTTTTTTTTACCCATAAATTGAGGAGACTGAATTAGACAATCTCTGAAGTCCCTTTCAGCTCTAAATGGTACCTTTTTTTTTTACTGGGCTACATGAAGCTTCCAAGAAAGGTCATGTCACTTGAAAATAATTTTTTCCCCTGAGGCCTTCTGAGATCAGTTCGATCAGTGAGTTGAGTTTATTAATAAGCAGGGGGATCCTTAGAACACTCCAAATTGGTATGAAGTAAATAATGTAAAACAGACTTCTACTTCCATAGTAAAGAGTAAAGGAGACCAAATTTAGTTCACTAAGAAATGCTTTTTTTGTTTTGATTTTTAGGTTGGGGGGGTGTTTTTTTCTTGATACATGGCAAGGGACATGCAATTTAAGTGATGACCTTTAATGAACAGGTATGTTCTTTCCATGCAGTGAGCCAGAATATATTTATACCCCTATGTGAAGCCTTGAGCCCCCAACCTATGCTGATTTACTCTTAAAGGAGCCGTGTTCGGTCACCATCACCAAGGACCACTGAATTAGTGAGATAATTTCTTAAGCAACCTCCTTTATGCTTGCAAATCCAGGTATAATATAGTAAAAAGGCTACTGGATATGAAATCAAAGGACCTGGGTTCAGGGCCCAGTTCTGCTACTTACCTGTATCACCTTAGGCACAATTGTCTAGACCTGTGTCTACAACTGTAAAATGAGAATTTTAGACTAGATTATCTCTAAGGTCCCTTCCAGCCATGAATCTTGCCCTAAATCCTCAGGAAAACTGATTAGGTGGGAATATAGACTGAATATTTTATGCTAAATTAGAAGGAGGCAAGATAACAATGTCCCCTAGACAGCCCCATTATTTTTAGGTTCCTGTTATTACTGATTTTGAAAATTTCCCATGTGTTGGCTGAGTCAAGTTCTTAAAGTGAGGTTAAATATTCATGTTCATGCATCCTGGAACTCAAGGGTGGAGCCTAAGTATAGACACTGGCAGTGGAGACTTTCCTAAACTAAGTCTCTAAGAAGGTGTATGATGGTTTTTTTTACTGACTGACTCAAGTCAGGTTGTATTTAACACTCATCCCAACCCCATTTTGAAGACTAGACACTCACATCTGCATGGAAAATATAAGTATTGTAACAGATTTCTGTTTTTAAAAATATTTCCTGGGGCAACTAGGTGGTGCAGCGGATAGAGCAGCAGCCCTGGATTCAGGACAACCTGAGTTCAAATCCAGCCTCAGACACATAACACTTACTAGCTGTGTGACCCTGGGCAAGTCACTTAACCCCATTGCCTAGCCCAAATAAAAATAAAAAATATTTCCCCCAAGTGGTATGAGAATAGATATTAAATACTGTAGGATATTTATTTCCAAATAGGGGGAAGGATAATGTGGAAAGCCCGGTAAAATGGGTATGCCCATGTATGTGAATAAATATCAAATAGGAAGTCTGATTATAGGAAACTGAAGAAAGCTGTACACTTTCTTTTTGACTTAGTGGTGGTCCAGCTAAAACGCGTCAAATATGTGCAATGGATTTTAGGTCTAAATGGTGGCAAAATTTGGAAAATTATGAATTGTCATTGAATTTTTGCAAAAAGCAGCCAACATATGATCAATCAGCCAACCTCACTCTAGCAAGATAGTAGTGTCCAAATTAGCACCAGCAAAAGTCAAGATTTCACTGTGCTGCCCTGTCCAGCAAGGTGAAAACTGTCTCTTAAAGTCTGTAACTACATTGTAATTTCTTAATCATTACTCTGCTATCAATCATCTACTTCCTAGAGTTTTTCTTTTTAAACCACCCTGAGTGCCAGGCTCACAATTGAAAGCATCTTATTTGATTAAATCTTTTATCATATAGAAGGAACTATGTTTAAAAAATATATATGAAATAGGATCTAGCTTGTAACTGTTGGCTCAGATGATAAGTTTATTTAATTTTGTCTTAGGCATACATTCAGGAATTTGGTGGGGTTATAACTGCGAAAATATAAAATGGTCTCTGGATGCATTATTTTTCTGGTTACAAAATAAATTTGCTCAGCATGGAGAAAAAGCATTTCCTCTTCTCCTACACATGCTACCATATACCTGTACCCCACCCCTACCCCCTCCTTTAAATCCTGGCACTGCAGTATCGACCTCATTCAGTCACACTGTTCTTCCACTTATTTGGCCCCACACTTAAGAGTCCAGCAGGGCAATTTGCTTGGCTCCCACAATGCAATGCTCTTTTTGCTAACCTCATGCTCCTCCACACAGCTGTCCAGGGAGACCTGAATTGCCTAAGTGGTTGGATTGTTCTGTTGGCTTTCTTGCCAAGCACATATCTACAAATGGTTTCATTATCCCACTCCTTGGGCTTCCTCCTTACCTCCCATGACAGTCTTACCATACTAGAATCGTCCCAAGCAAGGAAATGCTACATAAGACACACATACACTCCCATTACTAACCAACAGAAAGAGTTTGTGGGTTTACTGAACCCCTGCCTTGCTTACAATACAGGTAAAGTTGTTCACCTCATTTTGATGCTCTTCCCCCATCATTTCCCCCTCCATCCCTCCCCTACTACTGCCCCCCATCCATACTCTTGTTTTCATTGATAAGTCTGTGTGACACTAGGTTAAGGTAGCTGAGGTAGCTTGATCTGGCACTCCCTCATCATTCAGTGCTACTTGAACTTTAGCCAGAGTTCATCCCACCTCCATGTTCATAAATGCATGATGCCGGTTTGAGTTTACAGTTAGGCATTCTTTTGTTCTTGAAGTTCAGCCAGTCTCTGCTGCTATGGTGCCCTGTTACAAAGGAACCCTATGTACAGAGAACAGTGTCCGTTCTTTAGGTAGCAAGGGTTATTTTTTAATTCTTTTTGAAAATGAACTGCAGAAACATGGTTTTGATTTATATTGGTTAAGCAGGACATGGAAGAAAAGGGTGTTTTGGCAATGCAGCTTTTTCAATCACTCCAGCCAGTTATATTCTCTGAGCAACCACCAAAGACTCCCGCTTGAGGAGCGTGAATGGGAGCATACATATGTTTGTTTCTCTTTCCATGGTATTAACTCATGGCCTACTTCCTTGCGCTCCCAAAGAAACCCAAAAGTTGACTGTAGGTTTTTGATGTGAGAAAACTCTTTCCATGCTTCTGACCACTTTCCTGGATTAGCAATGAAAGTGGTGAGACATCATTGTGGTTAATTAAAGGCCTGGATAAAGATGGTGTTGACCAGCCTTGGTCCAGTTGGTTGACAATACTCTGCTGTGCAGGTGAGAGGCAAGCTCAGACTGGGCACTAGCCTTGTGATGCTAGAGGGGCAGCACTGTAGCCCCCCAGAAGAGACACAGCCATGAGGACTGCAGGAAGTTGTTACAAAGGAAGGAAAGATTCAGGCCATTCATTCACTCTGGAGATGGAAACCAGGTGACAGACCTTAGGGGTCATTGGTGAAGATGAAGGGGTGGGCTGGCTTCCTCTGCTGACCAAGTTTTCAGTTTCTTCATCTAACTTTTTTTGTCTTGAGTAGACTGAATGAGGAGCCAGACCTGGATATAAGAAGTACTGAGGTCCTTAAGCCTCAGAAAACAATCTCAAGGGCTGTGAATG